TTCTTGTCCATAACGTAATGCAGGGGAATTTCAAAGGATCTCCATACCCTCTCTGATGCTCCTGCTCCTGCTCCTGCTCCTGCTCCTGCTCCTGCTCCTGCTCCTGCTCCTGCTCCTGCTCCTGCTCCTGCTCCTTCCCCGATGCTCCTGATCCTTCATCCTGCCATGGCCTCATATCGGTTACCCTCATCCCCGCGCAGACTATCAAGCCCTTGCATTTTGCAGGACGAGGTCATATAAAGAAGGATCGCGGGATATGATGAGCGAGAGGGAGAGGGAGAGGGAGAGGGAGGGGAGGGGAGGGGAGGGGAGGGGAGGGGAGGAGAGGAGGAGGGAGAGGAGGGGAGGGGAGGGGAGGGGAGGGGAGGGCAGGGGAGGGCAGGGCAGGGCAGGGGAGGGCAGGGGAGGGCAGGGGAGGGCAGGGGAGGGCAAGGCAGGATACGGGAGGAGGGCAGAGGAGGAGAGGGGAGGGGAGGGGAGCAAAAAGAGGATAGGGAGGGGTCTAGAAAAAGGGTGGGTGTTGGTGATGTGAATGGGTGGAATAGAGGAGTGAATGGAGGGGAGAGCGGGAAACAAATGCTTAACAATTCGATTGCTGGCAGGATGTTCGAGCTCAAGACGGTCCTGGCAACTTCTGCAGGAGCATTCTTTGCGTTCCTCTACTTCTCAAGGCGCAAGCGGCATGTTGTGAAGGAATCTCCTCCCCATCCTTCATGGAAGGCCGGAGAGAATCAGCCTATTCCATATCCCGGCAGGCACGTAACCCTCCTCCCTTCAGAGCTCAAGTCCTGCTACCCGCTGATCATCTCAGCATATGTACCTCGTCCTATTGCCCTCGTCTCCTCCAAGTCAGCTGCAGGGCATGTCAATGTGGCTCCTTACAGCTACACCGGCGCCATCTCCCATGATCCGCCGGCCATCGTGGTCTCATGCTGCAGGAAGGCGGGGGACGTCATGAAGGATACGCTCGCAAACATCCTGGATACGAAGGAGTTCGTGGTCAATATCATGTCAGAATGGTACGCAGAGTCAGCAAACCATACTTGCGGTGAGAGCTCTCGAACCCACTGGCAGACTCTGATGACACTCTACTTGCAGGCAACTTCCCACCCGAAGTGAACGAGATGGATGTGGCTGGCCTGACGCCCCTGCCCTCCAAGATCATCTCCCCCCCTCGTGTGGCAGAGTCTGCGCTCAACTTCGAATGCCGCCTGATCCACCAGTACGACATGAAGAACGCGCAAGGGAAGGTCACCACCACGGTAGGGTAGCTTCACTGACCGAGCTTCTTTTGCTGGCCCTGATGGGAGGTCTTGTCGACAGGTTGTGATTGGAGAGATAGTCGCGTTCCATGTCCATGAGGGTGTACTAGAAATGAACGGTGAGACCGAGGCTGCGGTCAGTGAGATGTTTGCTCATGAGCAGCAGGAGCGGGTGAAGGCAAGCCGACGGTGAACTTCGATGCCTTGAAGCCCCTGGTGAGGAGGGAGGAGAGAGAGGGAGAGAGGGAGTGAGGAGAGAGAGAGAGAGGGGAGGCAGGCGCCTTGAACTGAGATTGTATGCAGTCTCGTCTTGGAGGATGCACGTATGGACGGACAACCGCTGTGTTCGATCTGCCGCGTCTTGATAGAGCGTGAGGTAGCCGTAGAAGTCTCTGGATGATGACGAGAAGTCATCCTGTAAAGTATTGCGATGTGCAATCTCTGCAAGTGTGAAGCACCCGATGCCATTGCGAGCAATCAGCACATAAATTTTCTGCTGCTAGACAGGTTCTTCATTCAAGGAGCCATTGTACATTCTGCGGCAACGTACAAGTGGATTCAAAAGTTTCCCAGGCCCTTCGTATATCCCTCCCGGCTGGATGTCTAGTACAGTCCAACCTATAGCAAGACACCGTCAGCGGTCGACAGGATCGCACTTGGCGAGCGTTACCTTCTTGAAGTACTTCATGGACTTGCTGGCCTTGTTGGCAACTGCAATCTCCATCAACGCAACTACCACGGCGCTAGGTTAGCTCTTACCTTCCTCCCTCTTGTACTGAGCGAGGGCACCCATGTGGAGCTTCTTGTTGAAGCCGAACTTGTGGTGCATGGGAACTCCAGCGATCCTCTTCCATCCGGGGACAGTCGACTTGAGAGCCTTGACCTACATGGGCGGATCAGGCCCGTCTCAAGTTGGGAGCTCTGTGCATCCTCCTACCTGAGTCTTAGCAGCAGCAACAGCGACTGGGGCCTTCTTGATGTCAGCCTTCTGCTCAACCAGGTCAGTGCCATGAGGATCCTCGGGCTGGAGAGACCTGGACGGGGGCCTTGGCAGCGGAGTGAGGCTTGTAGTACTGCAAGGCAGGAGTGAGGAGGAGAGAGGCGGGCTGCAAGCCCAGACCTTCTTCAAGGCAGCATCCCTCTTCTCGATAGCATCCTGGTACGACAACACGTCAGCTGGGTAGGAGGGGGACCGGGGTTCATCACCTTGGTGTCAGCGATCTGCTTGTGGATGAGCTGGCTGCAGTGAGCAGCGATGCTGCAAGCAGTCGGGTCACAAGCTCCCCGCAAGGCTTTCCAAGGAACTCACCGGCGGTCACTTGGGGTTCCAACCTTGTCCTTGAGGCTGTGCATGCGAGCCTTGGCGAATTGCCTTCCCCAGGCCTGCAGCATCATCCTCCCGTCAGAGAGCGGCAGGGCCTGAGATTCTGTCAACCTTGCATTGAGCGATGTTCATGTTCTTGATGTTCTTGATGTTGATGGCAGGAAGCTGTTATGTTACATGATGAGCACAGAAGTTCCAAGGAGCACAAACAGCAACCATCTGGAACTTGGCCCTGTCAGCAACGCTGGTGCCCTCGCCATCACCCTTGCCCTGTGCGACGGGAGCACGTAAGGAACGCGGAATGGTTCAGAGTCGACAACTCCGAAACTTACCATGAAGGCAGCATCAGTGCCGATGGGAGAGAACTTGGGGAGCGGCTGGTAGGCTTCGGAGGAAAATGTCACCAGGCATATAATCAGACAAGTCTTGCGACTCACTGACTCCCTGATGGCCAGAGGCCTTGTCCTGCTTGAGGACGGAAGGAGAAGACCTTTGAGACATCTGCCATGCGCTGATGTAAGGATACATCCGATCGCTTGCTACCAGGAGATGTTTCCAGGGTTGTATCCCCTTCCTTCACACCCTGTGTGACTCACACACCAACCTCTGCCTCGTTTCATCAGCCCTCCCTCCTGCTCCGATTCTGCCATTGTCCAACAGCCCGCTTCCCCTGCTCCTACAACTTGTGGTCTGATTGATCTTTCCCCTGCTGATCGGATTCCACTCCTTCTCTTCTTCCTCCTCCTCCTCCTCTCACCTGAGTCACTCCAAGGACGAGACATGCGGCGGCGACTGCAGCTGTCACCTTCGAGTAGCGAACAGCCATTTCGAGGAGACACAACCCCTGACTAGAACCACCCACCTTCTTGCTCCCCCGTCCCTGCGAACTACCAAAAATCACCCCACCCTTCTCCACCCTGACTACCCCCTGAGATAACACCACCCCCTGGGATTGGGATAATGCCCCCCAGCTATTTAAGATTGGACCCCTCAACCAACAGGCAGACCACCCCTATCGATCTCTGTTGATCACCCCTATTAAATACTCTTCTAGTACCGGTGGTATCAATGATGATCAGACGAGAAGGTGGGTAGGGGTAGTACTTTGCTATACACCCCTCCTTTATCGTTCAAAAACTGGGATTTTTAAAGGGGTAGGATACCACCCGCTCTTGTGTTTGCTGCCTTTCCATCAAGTACCCCTACCTTTTACACAAATAATGGGCTCAAGGGTCAGGTCCTCAGGGAAGGAGGGGTGGATGTTGACGAAGCAGGGTAGGGTACCCAAATGGATGTAAAAGTAGGGGTAGATACATGGTAATTCGATGGTAGGGGTACTACATCGTATCGGTTTCCTCGTAGGTAGGTAGTGGGGAGAGGAGAGGCAAAGCCCGTCATGCTGATTTGTTGACCATGCCGCTGCTGCAGCTACTCGCCAATGCTCTTGCTCTTGCTGCTCATCCTTCTTCTCATCATTCGTGATGAAACACGTCCTGATCCCATGCACAAGTTGTTTGTCACTGTTCCTGGAACCATCCACCCTGGTACTCGTGATCCGCTCCTTTTCAATCTTTTGCCCCGTCCCCTTCCAGATTTCGGGTGGCAAGAATCCCCCCCCCCCCTCCTCCTCCCCCCCCCCCCCCTCCTCCGCATTGATGGATACGTCCTGGTCTTACGTGTTGTGTGTTCCTGTCTTTGTTGTTTTCGTTCACCATCCTTTCCTCTGTTCCTCTTCTTCCCCGTTGCCATCGTTACTCTTCTCCGACTCGTGCAAGTCTTATCCCCTTTTCATTTCATCTCCAACGGCTGATCCGTACATGCTCCGCCTTTCATGTGATTCTATGTTAATTATTCTAGTCTCAGTAGCCTCGTAAGTCAGAGATCAACTCATCGTCATGACATCTTTCTTCATCTGCTCCATCCCATTACAGCGCTGAAGATGTTTTCCTGTTTTGTGCTCGAAAGCACATATCTCTTTGTTTGGATGATGAAATCTGACATGATTAGCAATAGGTGTCATTTTGGATCTTTTGGTTGAACGCCTCATTTGACTTTGGTTTCTATCTTCTTGTCCACTACCTGCTGTTGTGCAAAGCAGGTGATCTATCAGATCAAATGTGATCTCTTGCATTTACTATTTTGCTATAGAAAATGAGCTCAGAAAACGCCGACGATCGTGAAGCTGCTGAAGGAACAAGAGGAGAACGTCGTCAAGACGACAGTCCACCCAGGTGCAGCAAAAAAGGCGGGATTGTAGCCCAGCAAAGAACACGTCTTTCATCAGTCTCCATACTCTGCAGCGATTGTCTGGTGTTTTTGTCTCATTCAGCTATGCAAATACGTTGGAACAAGATGTGCGCAGTGTTAGATGGAATTTGTCAGAAGTTTCACAGCAGCTCAGAACGTCTTGTTTCTCTACGTGTTGTCCACTGCCCAACATCTTTCAGCATGCTTTGTCAGCCTGATGGTCCAGCGCTCACAACTAACGCGAACATATGGCGGGGTTGCCAACCACAGAGATTGGGAGCGTGAACGTGGACGCGGAGATCGAGATGATCGTGAACGTGAGCGCTCGGACTCTCGTGGCAGAAGGGGAGATCGCCCTACCCAGGAGAAAAGCAGTGAAGGCACCAGTCTTTACGTTGCCAACTTGAGGTAGAAGGTTAAACAAGCCATTTTTCCTCTTGATTTTTGTCTTTGCAGTTTCCGCTGCAACACGCCTGAACTTTCCGATGTCTTCTCCAAGTTCGGAAAGGTAATCTTGACATAATTTGCCCGCGTCTTTTTCCGTTGGAAGCTTATATCTTGTATTTTAGCTCCAGAGCGTTTCTGTCCAGCGTTGGCCTCATGGCGAATCTCGTGGCTTCGGCTTCGTGAACTTCGAAGATCCTGGTAAGTGCGCTCTGTGCTTGGTTGTTGATCGCATGCAATCATGGGTGCAAAATTACGTTTTGCTTGAACTGACGGGTTTTTGTCTGGTAGAGGCTGCCGATACTGCGATGCGAGGTATACATTGAAGGAATGGAATGGGTGCAGAAGGTTGAACCGCTCTCAGAGTTGCAAGACGTCGTCGTTGCAGACCGTGCAATCACTATCCAGAAGAGCAGGTAGAGACATACATCTTGATCCGAATTTTATTTTTACACTGCTGTTCAGGCGCTCCAAGCCCCATGACAAGACTCCAGGTGTGTAGGAGAAATCTGACAATCACGTGGAGGCTAAGTTTCTTTCCAGGCACTTACATGGGCCCACGATCAGCCTCGAGCAAGTATGGAACTGGCAGGAGCGATGATCGTGGAAGGTGAAAGCCTCTGCTTCGCTGCAATCTGTCTCACAGAGTTCAGGCCAAGGAGCCGTGAGCGAGACGACAGGAGGAGAGACAGTCGCGATGACTACGGCCGCTCTGACCGTTACGATGACCGCGGAGGACGTGGATACTCGCGCAGTTACGATGACCGCGGGCGCTCACGTGACGACCGTGGCTACCCCGACACCCGCGATCGCTACGATGATCGGAGGGGAGGAGGCAGAAGCCGCGAGCGCTACGACGATCGGAGCAGGGGCTACGGAGGTCATTCCAGCCGGTACGATGAAGGAGGGCGAGGCTATGACGATCGTGGCTCCCGAGGAGGTAACGATCGTAACTATGGCCGCGGCCGCGATGCCTATGCTGAGAGACCTCCTCCTCCTGACGACCGACGACGCTACTAAGATGCTCAGCCCGGTCAAAATATAGTCCGCAGTGCGAAGGAACGCTACTCCTGATGCAATCCATCACGAGGCAGTCGATCTTCAATCGAGTCAGCAGATGTTGCACGACAGACTTGGAATCTGAGGCTCTCTCTCTCCTTCAGCTCGCTTTGACATCACTGGCTGTCGCGCCCGGTCCTTTTTTAGGCTCCTTTTGGAATAAATGACGAAATTTGGAAACAGTAACTTAACCCGGGCCACCGCCGGTCGTGCCAGGCCCGTGACTCAGTCCTCAGTGGCTGGTTGAGTCCGGGAGTCCGGTTCAACGCTCCGACCGCACCCTCGTCCCCGCCCTGATCCTTTGGCAGGGCCCTGACCTCCCCCAGATCCGCCTGAGCGTCACCCCTATCTTCACCTACTCAAATCACCCGTAGTAGGACTACCCCCACCCTTCATTTTGAGTCAGGCTCCTCTATAAGACAAAACTAATAAAATGCCGATGGTTTGTGTCACTTATTATTTATTACCCCCCCCCCCCCCCCTCTAGGGTCCGAAACAACAATAGGAATGATATAGAGGCGCAAGGTATAGAGGCGCAACGTACTCCAGTCAAATAATGGGGGTGGGGGTAGGACCCGTGATGGAGCGTCCTTTTCTTATGTCTAAAGGACGGGTTGAAAATAGTATTATTGAGGGGTAGTCAGAGAATTTGTGGGGTACCGTCAGCAAGAAAGGGGATGGGTAGGGTGGAGGTGTGAATTGGAAATGGAGGAAGCTGTGGAACGATCGAAGACTACGAGGAGGAGGAGGAGGAGGGAGGGGGTGAAGGGGGGGAGGGGGAGAGAGGAGGAAGGAGAATAGATGAAGGAGAAGAAAGGAGGGGGGGATGATGCGATGTGATAGATGTCTGTCTTTGTGTTGTTTTGTTGAAGTGCGGACATGACGTCAAACCGAACAAACCTGACATTTGCTGAAGATGAGGCGTTTGGCCATGGCGGCTTCCTGTTACCTGTTGGCATCGTTCATGCTGTTCGAAGCCATAGATGCGTTCATGCAGCCTTGCCTGCTGTCTCCGGCAAGGGCGCGATCAAGCATCACCCCGCTGAAGAGATTGAGGTGCTCCCTACAAGAAAAACCGCCTACACTAGAACCAAAATCCCTGAGACGATGATACCGATGGTGATGCCGAGAGCCATGGCTGAGTGGTGCTGGTCCTGACGCTGTCCTGACAGGGACCCTATGGAGATCTCCCCGATACCTCGGTGGAGAACACTGAGACTCGCATGAGACTGGCAGGTCATTGGAGGAGGGGGATGGAGGAAGAGGAAGAGTACAGTGGAGAGAAATGTGTGGAAGAGTACAGTGCAGAGAAATGTGTGGAAGAGTACAGTGGAGAGGAATATGTTAAAGAGTACAGTGGAGAGGAATGTGTGGAAGAGTACAGTGGAGAGGAATGTTTGGAGCAGGGAGGGAGGAGAAGGGCGGTGAGTTGATTGTTCCTGCAGAGATCTTGAAGGACGACTCTATCATCGACATAGCCTTCCACCGCCTCTACGACACTGCCCTTGACATTGGGCTTCACTTGTCGCGCGAAGCAAGCTCCATGGCGCACATGAACAGCGGACAAGGAGAGCGGAAGCCTCGGGTTGTCATAGCAGGATCTGGGTGGGGAGCGCATGCTATGCTCAAGATCATCGACACGAGCGTGTTGGACGTCGTCTGTGTGTCTCCCAGGAGCTACTTCATCTTCACGCCCATGCTAGCTTCCGCCTCTGTTGGAACTGGTACTTGCTCCCCTGCGCTGACGACGGGAGAGTTGATGTGGGATGTGGCAGTGGAGTACAGGAGCATCACTGAGCCGATGAGGTCTGCGAACCCTTGTGTGACGTACCATGAGGCGTCGATCACGAGCATCGATGCGGATCGTAAGGTTGTGCGTCTGTTGTCATGGAGCTGGTGGGTTGACAATCCGATTTGTGACGTGGTACGGCAGACGATTCGGTGCAAACCTGTCTTTGAAGGGTTCGACAGAGAGTTCGACTTGTCCTATGATTACCTTGTCCTTGGACTGGGAATGAAGATCAACACGTGAGGAGAAGCTGTTGTTTGCTGTGAGGTTGGTGATGAGTTAAGATGCTTGCCGTAGGTTTGGAACTCCAGGAGTGAAGGAGCATTGCTTCTTCCTCAAGGACATCAACGATGCCAAGAGATTGAGGTCTCGCATGACGACTGTTCTCATTCCCATCGCTCACATGCGCATGTTGGGTCAGGTCGGCCATCATCGACAAGTTTGAGAGTGCGAGCCTGCCCAACCTGACGGATGAAGAGAGGAGGGAGCTGTAAGTTGGCCACACGCCTGCAAAGAGAGAAGCAGTAGGCGAGCAACACGAGCAGGAGGGCAAGAAGGAAAAGGAGAAGGAGGAGGGCAAGGAGGAGGAGGAGGAGGAGGACAAGGAAGACTGTAGATTACGCGACCGTGAGAATGAGCAGTACACTGGATCAGTCAAGTTCAGGGGCGTCGAGGGAAAAGGTTGACAGATTGGCATGCAGACTCTCATTCGTAGTGGTCGGCGGAGGCCCAACGGGCGTTGAATTCTCCGGTGAATTCTTCGACTTCTTGAACGAAGACTTGAAGAGGTTTCTTCACCTTTTCTCCCCTCCTCTCCCCTTCTTTTCCCTCTCATCCACTCCTCTTCCCTTTTCTTCTCCGTCTATCCCTTCCCTCCACTCCCCTTCTCTTCTCTCTATCCTTCTCTCCTCTCCCTTCTTCTTCTCCTCCTCTCCTTCTTTCCTCCTCGTTGCTCCTCTTTGCACCTTCTTCCCCTCCGCTCCCCTCTCCACATGACTTCCGTGTTATCGCTCTGACCTCTGAGCTTGACGTGTCCTCATTTGTTCAGATACTACCCCCAACTTGTTCCCTTCGTCCGCACCGAATTGATTCAGGCTGGAGACGCTCTGCTCAACCAGTTCGACGAGACCATGCAGGTACTCCTGATCCTCTTCCCCTCCCACCTCTTCATTTCCTGCCCTTTTTTCCTGCACATTCGACATGCATATCTCTGCTCCCTCCCCTCTTTCCCCTGCTCCTCCTCCTCCTCCTCCTCCTCCTCCTCCTCCCCTTCCTCTTCTCTTGCTAAACGTGTCAACTGGCAGGCCATGGCTCTCCGATCGCTCCTGTCCCAGGGGGTCAAGGTGTTACTCAATGCTCGGGTGGAAGAAGTCAGCGCGAAGGAGATCAGATACAACATCCGCAACCCGGACAAGACAACAACTACTATCACTACCAAGTGCTGAGATTTCTATCCCCTTCCCTGCTCCTTGATCGTTTCTTTTCCCTTCCCCATATCCTCCCTTGCTACATCTCAAGAGCTTCTCTATTTCTCCCCTTCCTTGTTCGAATCCTTCTTGCCTCCGTTATCTCCATCACCCTTCTGTCCTTCACGCTCTCTCGAGCATTCACGCTGATGTTGTCGTCTCCCACTCCTGACCTTCTACTCAGGTACAGCTTGTGCGTGTGGGCAGCTGGCAATTCTCCGATCGAGCTCTCGAAGGAATTCCAGAAGAAGGTTGAAGGAGGGGGGCAGGGAGGGAGGGAGGGAGGGAGGGAGGGAGGGAGGGAGGGAGGGAGGGAGGGAGGGAGGGAGGGAGGGAGGGAGGGAGGGAGGGAGGGAGGGAGGGAGGGAGGGAGGGAGGGAGGGAGGGAGGAAAGTATATGGAGAAGCAGGTGGGGGATAAGCTGAAAAGCCTGGCCAGAAAGGGAACAGTCGATCAACTTGTCATTAGGGTTCGCAGTTTGTGCGAGAGGTATCCTAAAGCAGCAGTATTGTCACATTCTTACCTCAGAGTGCATGAAAAGAATATTCATGAAATGCTTTCGCAGAAACTTGATATCAAACGCCTCCAAGTGAAGTACCTGCAA